AATCCCGTGATATTTCAGACGAGTCAAGATATTGGTTTTTGGAGACATTTCTTTTTAGCTGCCTTCGAAAATGGCACTTGGTAATAAATACCTACGTAAGTAGGGTGCCTTCTTGCTATTGATTTTAATGTCCTAATAAATCCCAATATACATAAACGTATATAGTATATCATTCTCAATAATAACATATCTTATAACATTCGCTAGGAAATCGCGTCTTCTTCAATTTTTCTATCAGAAGAAAGGGCACAGTTTGGTTTTGAAAAAAATATTTTCTAATTGTCTAGTACTAGTGAGTCCGCTTTTTCGTTTCATTTGTGTTTAGGCTTTTCAGTCTACAAACAGTTTACATGGCATTTAAGAAAAATCATACATTCCTCCATGGCTTTTAAAAGAAGTCAAATAGTTCTAAGAAAATAGTCTAATGTTACAAATATAGCGGGATGCTTTAATAAAAGGACAGATACGACGCTATTGGAATGGACATTTAATGGTTTTAAAAACTCTCAGAATTATAAACATTTTTAAAATAGAGAGATTGTCCTTCTTCGAGTATAAAATTTAAAGAAGGCGTGATAGGCCACCACCTGAGTGCAAAAAAGTATTTTCTTATGGTTATATAAAATATCTTTTGATTTATAAGGGCATTGAAAATCAATGGAGACAATGCATACCAATAAATGGTTCATTTCTTTATTCAGCATGTTTTAGGCAGGCGACCGAAAAGCAATCCATGCCCGAGCAAACATACTCTCGTGTCCGAAATGTTATGAATTAATGTCGTCCAATGATCAATATTGTAGCCTTTGTAAACCTTATTGTTGCCCACAGATTCACTCGGATTTAAGGCGAACGCAGTGCCATGTCTCTACGGAATTTATTCCCATCCTGATGACGTTTATGACCCTCTCTCGGAAGAAGAATAACAGCAGTAGGTTAAGCGAGCAGTGGAAATATATAGGAATGTGAAAAGGTATCAGCATGCCTTGGTGGTCGAGATTAAAGTACAAGTATGAGCAACCTGCTATACTTCGTAGTCTTCTTATCCGCAACTATTTATGCAAACGCAAATTTATACAGTAAGAAAGCTTCCGCATTGGTCGCAATTGCAGAACACTCGATTTCGTTTCCCTCTCAAGGCAAACATACTGTGACTTTAGGAATTTGTACTTTCGAAAGTCCACAGCATTCAAAACTAACCGTGGACCCGGCTTCTCATTAAAAAAAGCATCTTCAATGCTGTATCAGATGTGCATGCATTTGTTATTGTCTGGGACTTTCGTGTGCCTCAAACACCTACTTAAGGTCGTCCATTTTACGTTTCTTACTACCACACTTGTATAGAGTCTGCTCCCTCCACAGTATACAGAAAATCTCTTCTCCAAAGCAGGTCCTACAACTACCTCAATAACCACTCCAGCGTTTGATATTCGTCAGTGTAAAGCAGGAAAACATTCAGTTACTTACCATTTTTCACCACTGGCATTTTAGGAAATAAAAAACATTTTCTTTACTCATCCAGACGACTAAGCAGCAGACCATGGAATCCGAGTTACCTGCCAAGAAAGAATCGCCTTCTAGCTCTCCTAAAGATCTATCTACAGACCGTCAGGCGCCGCAGGAAGGCAACTCCCAGGCTCTTATGCGGTCATCCGAGGAGCCCGACGCGGCGAAAATACCTGCTACCACTTGCCAGACATCAGCAGCATCAGCGGTCAAACCCATTGCGACAACTGTTCACGGTGTGGCAACCAGCATAATTTCAGAGGTAATCGACTCCGGTTTTCCCATTCTTCCTTTTAATGCCGAATTTGGTGATGCTGGAATCAACCTTACTTTGTCAATAACTGTAGGCGAAAATGTCTTAACTGAAAAAGACATCGTTTACACCTTTTATGAATACTGCCTTCTTTGAATTCTCAAACCAGGTATGGGCACAGACGCAAGACAAACGGGGTTCGGGAGCCTCCTCCCCATCCTCGGCATCCTCGTCTTCTTCCTCTTCATCTATCATTCTGCTTCCTCGAGCGCCAATTGGTAGTCCAAGCGGCACTTTATTCATGCCAGTACGTCAATTTCAGGTTTTAAAATATGTCCGATTATATTTTTCTTTAACGAAATGTCATTGTGAAAATATATGTTTTCCATATGAGTCGTTTTGCTTACCCTATTTTTTTGCAAACGGCTTATATGGAGTCCATTGTTTGATTGAGGATTTATTACGGAGCCCATAGATTTTTTCCTTAAACCATTGTCTTTGCATCTGTCTCGGGCCGACTGAAATTGACTGGATGACGTTTGGGCATGTTTTCTAAAATACTCTCAGAAAATACGAAGAACTTCGCGCTTTCTTATTCCATCACCTCAATTCGTCACTTTGTTTAGTCTAGCCAAATTGTTTTCGATTCCGGATGCCATATTTGGCTGCATTTCCTGCAATAAAGTAACCTAAAATGGCGGGAGATAATTCACGGTAGGAAAAGTGTCTTGAGACAGCTTGCTTTGCAATCTCACCGGTTTCATCAACTCTAGCTGAAAAGCGTACGGTTGCTTTCACGTGTTAATTATAAGGAGCAAAGACTCGTGTGAAGAATACTATTTTAGCCTATGGCATAATTAACTGAAAACCTCCCAATATTATACTCTGTCGATTAGAAAATAACTCAACATAGCGCTTGCTCTCCTTTTTATTCGTCAGATCAGAAGCGTGCCATTTATTAACATACTTGGCTTTCCTGCCTACTTCAGTCTTTATTTTTCGCCAAAAGTAAAATTTCCAACCATTGAAAAGTTATTATGCACTAGAGACATTCAGCGCTAATTCGCAATTAATATATCTTCCAAGGACTACATATGAAACTGCAAAGTTCATTTAATCAGACGACGTTTGTCCCGATACTATATTGGACTACTCACTTCTAGAATAAATGGTAGTTCGGCCCAACTGCGGGCCCATTTATTCCTGATACACGATTTGATAACTGTGCATACATCAACAGTTTTGGCTATATTACAGAGAATTGTTAACATTTTCGGAATCTTACACTCAGTACCTAGAAAAGTAGAAAGGATAGCGTTTTCGAAAATTTTTATTCCGACCTCTGGCCGAAACCGCTATTAAGCAAACCGATTAAAAACTTCTTTCCATGTACTAGACACAGCCCTAAGTCGGTCGTTACCAGAATCTCTTTAAACCGCAGGAGAACGAGAAAGCCATTTAATTTTATATGTGTAGTGTCCTTTGAAATAAGTAACTTGCCTGCAGGTTTATAATTGTTGTTAATCTCAAAGTCTTACGTTAGAATGTAGAGAAACAGAAAACACAAATCATAGGGCAATCACCTTTTGGAAACCGAAGGATGGACAAGGCAGCTCAGTAAGCTACAAACATCTCGCGTCTTCTGAAGTTTAATCACAAACAACCCGTAGAACACAGACAAATTGGCCCTAGGCTGCATGTAAGACATGAAACGCACAGCATCAGGCCACAAATAAAAATAAAAGGATACCGGCTACTGCAAAGTTAAACTTCTATTCAAATATATACGTCGGAATTGATGCTGAACTGATATCTGTCATTAGCCTTCCCCAGGTTTATCGTAGGTTTTACCCAAAACAAAAACCTCATTAGATTCAGTGGAGTACATTATACTCGTTATCCCACTAGCCAATGTCGGATTCGGTGGATTAAAGATTCAGTTGACCATGGTGAATGGTTATCTGAGGTCCACGGCACGGGAAAATATATTTGATCGTCGTCCTATACCCAACACACACACATCGTGATGTGGCAACTGATACGAGCTGCGCGAAGTTATAGTAAACTGCGCTGATAACCTAAGGAAAAGCGACCGCCATGTGGTGGACACCAGCCATATGGCTTATTTAATTGGACAAAACTTTGCCAGAGAAGGCTTCATAGCGGACGCTTAAGGTCCATTTCCTGGCTTCCGGACCAAATAATTGTTGCGTAGACCTGCATGTAGGCATACTACGTTCTAAAAAAGCTACAGTGAAAAGGTCAATAGGCTAGCCACATTCAGAGGGCATAACGAGGCAGACGGTAAACTCCCGCCGGAATCAGTAATTTTGCTTTGCTTTTTGTCCTCTTTTCGTTCTTCTTCGTTTGCTCGCTTTTGTTTATGTTGCCATTACTAGTGCTTCCTTTGCATATTCTTTTTCCTGCTCACCACTTATCCTTGTTTTACATTATTCCTGTTCCTTTCTGCCCAACTAAGGACAACCACTAACTTCTATTTCTAAGTGCCCACTGCAACTGATTCCTACGATGGAAATGACCTCTCCTGCATAGTACGCTGTGCTGATGCCTTTCTTTGTTAGAGCATCAACGCTTGTCCAAAAGCACACCAAGAACTGTCGTTCTACTTACCGATGCTGACTGATAGGTCAACAGAGAATCATAGCAAGTGTGTAGCTAGATGGACGGTGTTTTGTGGTGGTTTGTTGCTGTCACCTAATTTGTCTATCCGTCTTATCACAGCAAATGCTGAACCATTTCATTCAGTGGCTCTGCAACAGTTACTTTAACATACTATTTAGATGAAAAACTTATTTTCTTGGTAGAATAGCTTTACCATTTGACTGTTCGGATTCTACCTTAGGAGTATGTATTTACACTATTGAATAGAATATGCGAAGCACAAGCAGAACCTAAAGTAAGATAGAAAGAAAAAACATCGGATGTCTGAACACATTTATCTCACCGATTTTTCAATTGCGTACAAATGCAAAATATGTGTCTTTCTTTTAATTCTATATTGGACCGTAAGAAGGCGGCTAGTTTAACTGCGACGAATCTCCTCTTGCTTTCCTCTGATGGTAATTGGCTGTCATTTCTGCTGGGAGTTCATATTTTTAACTATGGGCACGAACACATGCATGCTCAATTAATTTATTAAGAAAGAAATTCCATAATACTGAAAAGACCATCTTTTGTTAGCCGGCAAATTTTTATAGTGCTGATGACTTTTGTCTCCAGCAAGCAATTTTATAGAGGTCTGAAATTTCATTTTGTCAACTACCATAGGTTCCCTTATTCAACTTTGCAGACGCAGGTGTTTAATACAATTTACACAACTTCCGCCCTTGTCGTAGTAACCCTTTGACTTGGACTTTAAATTCGTTTTTAGCCGATGACTACAGAAGAATCATTTCGAGACCGTGCAGAAGGTGTGTCTTTTCGACACGATCTGGTGGAAATTTCCTGTCTTGAACCGGTCCCCGAGGGCCGCATAGCCGAGTCCTACGCTGCAACCCGCTTTGATCGGCCCTTTACTTGTTTTTCTTCGGGAGTCCGAACACCCTCCGGCCTCCACAGTCCGTCTTCTCAGCCGCCACAAATATCCACCTTTATCAGCTCTAAACAGAATTCTGCAACCACGTCGTCCACCACCACTACCCTCACTACTGCTCTTTCGACCGGCACTGAAATAAGTAGACCTGGAGAGGAACATGAGGGGGAAGAGGAGATTGCAGAGGATACTGCGGGTGTTGATGGCAGTGACTCTGAAGTTGATTCGTCAACCAGTTCGGCCAGTGAAGGTAGTGAGGAGATTGAACCCTTTCCGCTACCGCCACCGGATCTCCTAG